ATCTACGCGACGTGGAAAAGGGGCACGAGCTCTCACACGATCTCGCCTCGTGTTTATTGGGGATGGCGGTGTCGGCAAGACCACCCTCAAGGCGGCGCTGATGATGCTGCACAACGCCGATCGCGAAACGTTGCTGGAGGGCATTCGTACGTCCTTACGCACCGAGTTGAGAAGGTACACAGAGGCCGACTTCCGCCAGTGGGTGGATCACGATCTGGCGCACAGGGACGGGTTCTTTGACGAGGAGTGCCCGAGGGCCAAGGGTATAACGGGGAAGCGATGGTTGGCATGCACCGATGACCAACTGCAGCAGTGGTTTGGCAGTGCAAACACGCCTGCCTCTGAGGACGTTGTGCAGCGCATGCTTCAGGCAAAGCGCTTTCTCCTCAGCAAAGGTAGCAAATTGTCTTCGTCCAAAGACAGCGGCAGCCCGTTCCAGCAGCTCTTGCACATGCCGCACGTGTGGACGGAAGGCATTGACGTGGACCACTGGATCAAGCACGCGTTTGACTTGTGGGATTTTGCGGGCCAGCTGGAGTTCTTCCCGGCCCACCAGCTCTTCATGGCCTCGCACATGGCCGTGTACCTCCTTGTGTTTGATGCCTCAAAAGGGTTGGAGCATTCCATCGCCCGTATCAGTGTGTGGCTCGGCCTGCTGCAAGCATGCCGCCTGTCTCGACACAAGCAAGCCGAAGCCGTGCAAGTGCGGCTGGTCGCCACCAAGACAGACTTGCCATCCTTTGATTTTGATCTCCAGCACCTCCACGCTGTTGTGCAAGAGCGGGTTGGAAGCGAGTTTCATCTTGGACACTGCTGTTTTGCCCCACGCTACGATGAACACGACATTGGTGATGCAGGCGCCGACTTCGGCCTTGTTGCCTTGGATGAAGAACTCGCGACACTGCGAAGGGAAGGTGTGCCCTACGTCCAAGTCCCTACCGCCTATTTGAGCATCAAGAACTGTGTGCAGAGCATGAAAATGGAGCAGCACCAGGTGTGGCCCATCATTAGTGTGTCCGAGATCGACTTCCGAGACAAGGACCCCGACCTCATTTTGAGGTTCTTGGACGATGCGGGTGT